TTAGAAACACTGGAAAGGTCCATGTTTTAGAACCCAAGCAGAAAACAGTTTTATAAACGCTGCTTGCTGATAGTTTATTCGAGACCACTTTGCAGTTTAGCACAAAGTGGTTAGTGCCACTTTAGGCTTCAGAGCAAAGTATTCCAATCCATTTTGATTACAATTCTCATTAGAAACACTGTAGAGAACACTAATTTAGAGAGCAGCCATCAAATTTGCTCTCAGTTTCGCTAAATACTTCGATTATTTTTTCGAAGTTTAAGTAAAATATATATCATCGATACATCCATAATCTCATCAAAAACTTTTAAAGATTAGTCATCTTGAAAAAACTATTCATTGGATCGTTCGAGCAACAAGTTGAGTGAGAAAAAAGATGAATTTTGTCTCTGGGATGCTCTTACGGTAAAAGTGTACGATCATCATCACATTAAAAGTGTAACAGTACAATATTAGAGTATAGAAGTAAAACTCCTGTATGAAATTGCTATCCCATGTACTAAAAATAGGCAATTAATCGTGAAAAATCATACGATTAACCGCGATTGATGACCGATTTTTTGGTGATTTTAGCGATTAATCGCGATTAATTGACGATTTTTTTCTTCTAGGTACTAGGTTCGAATCCACCTTAGAAAATACATATTTTTTTCTGTTTTTTCATTGTTTATTATATATAATGACATGTACGTCACTCGGTAACGATCTTAGCACCAGTCGAAGTCGGAGTCCTTACCGACGAGTCGATTTTAGCCGGTTCTCAGATACCAGTTGTTCACTGGGCTCCTCGACTTAAGGCTCTAGAGGATCATAGAGAAGACTTTTGACATTTCTAGAGCCAGTATAAGTATGTATTGATGTTATGTATATAACTAATACATTTGAGTAAAGCAGGTATATATTGATAAACAAGTTTTAAAACTACTATAATAAGTGACTCTAACTTTTCACCGGAAATTTTGAATTGTCTCTTGACAAAACATTAGCTGTGTTGGAGATTAAATGAACAGATTGTCTTCTTTTTTTATATTTACAGCTGTAAAAAATATTTTTAGATCAAAATATGGCGATGAACTCCGTGAAACCGATCAAATGTGTTGTGGTTGGTGATGGAACAGTCGGTAAGTGAAAAGAAGTTTTTAGAAATATTTTTCTACAGTTATATTCGTTTCTTTTCTTAGGAAAAACTTGCATGTTAATAACTTACACAACAAATTCATTTCCTGTTGAATATGTTCCAACAGTAAGAAACAAATTTCACTGATTTCTACTTAGCGTTAAAAAAAGACTGATTTATCCGATTTTAGATATTCGATAGCTATGCAGTTACGGTGCTGATTAATAATCAACCGCATACTCTAGGACTCTATGATACTGGTAAGCATTGTGATTTTAATTAACATTCCTCATATCTTTTCTTTTATTTCAGCTGGACAAGAAACATACGATCGGCTTCGACCACTGTCTTATCCGGAAACAGATATTTTTCTTGTTTGCTTCAGTGTTGTTTTACCACCTTCGTTTTCGAACGTTCGAGATAAGGTAATTTGTTCGAGTTCCTAGAAAAATAAATTTTACTTAAAAAGAATTTTTGGCTTTAGTGGTTACCTGAATTATCTCATCACAATCCCGGTACACCATGTATCTTAGTGGGTACTCAAATCGATTTGCGCGATGATAAACCAACAGTAGATAAACTACAAAATATGTATAAACAGCCACCAATATCAAAATTACAAGGAGAGAAAATGGCTAAACAAATAAACGCAGTTAAATATCTTGAAGTATCATCAAAAACACAAGTAAGCAAATCGTACGATTTATTTTAGTTAACATGTAATATGTACCTACTAAACTGTGTGAAGATAATCAACCATGTATTGACAATCTCTAGCTAAATCATCTGCAAAAAAATAGTTAAAGTTTTGATTAGTTCAGACCAACAGTCTCTGATAACTTCTTTCATTTTTAGCAGTTTCGAAAGTTCATAATATCATCTTTTCTTCTCTATTTCAGGCTGGTTTAAAAGCGGTATTTGATGAAGCGATAATGACTGTATTAGTTCCAAAAAAGAAAAAACCTCGATCGCACAACTGTGTCGTTTTATAAATATTTAATGATACAAAAATTTTGTTTTTAATAAACATTATTTTCTATTGTTCTACTTCTTTTCTATACACTTTTTACATTTATCAAAGTTTTTCTGTTATAAATATGAAAACAAGTGTTTTTATTTTCTTTGGTACATATAAATATACTTATTTTTATTTATTTTTATTTTTTGTAACAACGATCGCTGAATTTTTTGTTTAAGACTATTACCTAATCAAAAGTGAAAATTGTTTTGAATATTTTCATTTGTACAAGTCTTATTTTTCTAGAAATAATATATTATTATAATAGATTTCTATTATGAAAAATGATGTTCTTCTAGGCCAATTCATGTAGTCTTGGATTAATCAAATCCATAACTTTCAAAAAAAAAACCACTTATTATGTTATCATTCATATACTTTTTCTGATTATATTTACAGGCAAAAAATCCTTGATAATCGTAAATAGAATTCTTTTCTCATTCTTAAAGGGACGTGATACGCATCACTATATTACAAATGAATCACTAAGCTATTTATGTATTCTGTAGTCATTTTAGAACGTTAGTCCAACTAGCTTACAATATTTATTTTTTTTATTCTCTTTTTTTTCTACCTTCAAGCGATAAAGCCATGATACGAGCAAACGGCAGAAGTATAATATTTGGATTACATTAAATAAAATATTAGTGTATCTGAATAATAAGTAAAAATCATGAAATATATTCTGACGATATTTTATAGTCCATAAATAACAGGAAGTAAGAGTCTATTAATTTTAGTTTCTACTTGTACATGATATAGAATGATATGCGATTGGAGACATGATATACTGCTTGTGCATGTACAATATAATTTCTAAAGTTGTGTACAGTTTAATTTAGACGGAAGTCTATTCTAGATAAAACTGTTGCTAATTATTTTATTAACTATATATGGGCGATAATTTTCTACCTGATGAAGCATTATTAATTAGTCTTGCTAATGATTTCTTTATTAGCGAAAGTACCGATGATTATAATCGTGATTTAAATTTATTTGAACATGATCGAGATACAACTTCATTACTTCCTGCCACAATTTCAAATAATAATTATCAATCAGAACAAACACCAAAAAATAGTATGAACTTTTTCATCTTTTTAACAGAAAAGCAAATGACTAATGTTTTTATGCCGTTTTTTTTCAAGTTGAACTACTGAAACCTACATCTTTACCATTCACATTTGATCGCCAATTATCGTTATCAACTTGTCAACCATCAACATTTCGTACACATTTCAATCTGAATAATCCCGATGAATACAAAGAAGCATTATCATTAATTAAAAATTCTGTTGTCCAAATTAAACGATTAACCAATCAACAACTAATAAGCAAAATAATGATCAAAAATCAGAAAATACTGAAAAAACCATCAATGCCACCACCTTCAAATGTTCCCACGACATCTTCGTACGATTTACTACCACGTGTGGTACATTTTCTGTTTTTTTTCCTAATAACATTCTGAATAAGATAATACTTTTGTTTTCTTATAGCGTGGTCCCAGATCTGCTCGTTTTACTTGTCCAATTTGTGGTTTAATTACAGTATCAATGGATCGTTTACAACGTCATGTTGCTCAACACGGTCAAAAATTACATTTAGAAACATATAAACCTGAACGAAAAGTATCCACATTGGTATGTGAACGTTGTAAAGCCACATTTTCATCGGCATACGCTTTACGTAAACATCAACGTGTTCACACTCGAGATAAACCATTTTCATGTGATTTTTGTGGATCCAGATTTAGTCAATGGGGAAATTTACGTCATCATATTCAACGACATTTAGGTATTAGTCCATACGCATGTCCATATTGTAAAAAAACATTTATTGCACCGTGTAAATTAGAAGTACATATACGGGGACATTTAGATGAACGACCATACGTATGTGAAAGATGTCAAGCAACATTCAGGTAACAAAAAAAATGATATTGAATTGTTTCTGGTCGACCATAAACATCTAACAAACAACTTTTGTCTTTATATGTTTAGATGCAATGATGATTTACGTAAACATATGATTATTCATGCCGACTATAAACCATTTGTTTGTTGGTTATGTACCAAACAATTTTTTCATGCCAGTAAATTGCGTACTCATTTAAAAGAAAAACATGAAATTGAAGTTGTTATACGTAAAAAAGATGTATTAGAGTCGGGAACTGAATATGAAATAACTGTTGTTAATCAAAATGATTTAACTTCGATAAATCAACAACAAAATACAAATGATAAACATATAGCAGCAATTACACTGAACGGTATTCAAGATCAGCTTCAAGATGAATCATCAATATCGACCACATTTCTTGATACAACGACGCCACATTTAATTTCATCGATGACAGATGAGTCCGCAGATGATATTATTAAACAACATGTACAACAATGTTTAAATATGAACTACGTTGTTGTTGATTCATCAAATGGTGATTCATTAGAAAATTTTCAAACATTAAATGATTTAAATGTCTCTGATATTGAACAATTTGTTAAAAATAATCCATTTGTTACAACAACAGTCGACTCTGAATTAGTTAAAGATGAAACAGACCATGAAAGAAGTCATCATAATAATCATAATCATAATCATCACTTGCACTCTTACAATTTTAATCATAATACATTTGATTTGGGAGATTTTCATGTGATGTAAGAAAAAAATCCTCTACTATATTGAAACAAATAACGATAAGGGAAACACGAGTTTCTTATATTTTTCGGGTGCATGTTATCCTCGATTATCATAGGAAAAAGTCGAGCATCTTACAGGGATAATTCTGAACATCTGTGACAAAATATATAAAAAATATTGTGAAATTAATCACATACGGTTCTGTTACTGTGTGGCATTTTCAATCTATTTAGTTCGTCAAAGCGTTTAGCAGCGTTGTTACTGCACCTATGCCCCGTGAAAACAGATCACAATCGTAGTCGATTGTATTTTAATTTCGAAATTGAACCATAATATGATTCTATTTGAGTTCTGTCTCAGGTTATATATTAAAAACAAGCAGCAGTACTTAACAATAAGATCCCATTAATCTACAGCTAGATTATCATGTTTTTGTACGTCTAATTCAAATATATTTTTCCTAGTCATCATATATCCTGAAGAAAAAAATATCCAACATTTTGAACGTAAATTTTTTCTCTTTTATTTGTTTTTGTGTTTTTATAATGCAATAAAGTTATAACTTAGATAGAAACAGGTTGAATGATATTTAATTCTATTTCTAACATATTTATTTGAATTCAGATTGCGTCGTTCTTCATCTTTTGTTTTCTTATATGATTGCTTGTTGTTATTATTGTTTGTTTATTTGTTACCATCCTATAACTATTTTTTTGATTACACAGCAGCAATCAGTAGAATTAATGGTATACGCTTGTTTTGTTTGTTTGTTTTATTGTATGCTCGTATGTATGGTTTTACTGTACGTGTGTGTGTGTGTGTGTGATACAAATAGCGTTTTATTTGAAAAGATCTTGAAAATAATTGTATACGTTCATTTTTCTTTTTTTTTGTATCATCTCATATCTTTTTCTGATACAAGAAAAAAAAAGAAATTGAATTATAACAAGAAAATACTAAAGAAATTCATCTTTAATTTATTTGCCATTAATTAAATTTTTATGGATTAAATTAAAAGTTCGTGAATCTGATTCATATCGAACTTTTTAATTAGATATTGTCAAATTGTTATTCTTTATCAGACAACATCGTTTGTATGTATCACACATATTTGTCTTTATTTTTGTTTAGCCAAAATATATAAATATTTGTTTAAAATGTCCGAAATTGCAATTAGTGTATTAGATTGGTTGGCTGTATCCATTCTTAATGGAGTTTATATTTTTAATTTAAATGACCCATTTCAGTGGCAATTAATCAGACAGAAAGATCCACAATCACCATTGAAAATTGACCAAAATAATGTAATAAAAACAACAGATGAGAATGTTAATCAAAGTGAAATTGAATTAAATCGAAATATAATAATATTTTCTCCAAATGGTGAATATTTAGCATTTAATGATCAAAAAAATATACTTTATCTCTATGAATATTCATTATCTACAATACCAAATATTTACTGGAAACATTTAAAAACTATTCGAGTAAAAAATTCAATATCCACATTTTATCTAACAAACGATCTATTATTTATAGCTGATAAAGGGAATGGTATTTATAAATATGAATTTTTATTAAAACAAAATAGTGAAATAACAAATTTAGATAATATTATGGGATATTTACCAACAATATTTGATGTTTGTTATGTTAAATATTCAATCACACCAACAACGTATCAAGAATATTTGTTAACCGGTGATCGTGATGGAAAAATTTGTTTAAGTCATCCACATATGCATAATACGGAAACATATTATCTTGGTCATCAAGACTTTGTATCAAATATTAAACTAATTAATAATAATCATTTTATATCAACATCGGGCGATGGTAAATAGTGTTTCTATTTTTTTTGGTTTAAATTAGCCCTAGATATATATGCAGCTAATAAGAGAGTGATTTTTAACGTTTATCGCTACTATTTCATTTTATTATAGGTACTTTACGACTATGGCGTATTTCTGATTGTTTACCATTAGTTGTATTACATATGAAAGCGTTTATTAATAGCACAAAGTTCGTATTCTATAGTCAACTATACACTGATGATTATAATGTTGAACAAATTGATGATTATATTAGTGTATTAAGAGGTAATGATATGAATTCATCAATGATAGATGATTCAAATTCATCACTTCAAGATTATTCTATATGGAAAGTAGCTATTGCTTGTACAAATAATGATAACGATTATAAAATTTTACAGACATCGTCAACATTTATTGCGCTCTCACTATATTGTCAACGTCATCATTGTATCTATTTAACAACATTATCAAATCTTAAAACACTCAATAATGAACAAAAAAAGCTTTTTATCGATGATAGTTACGGTTCGATTATTGACTATTCATTTTCACCTAACTCATCAATAATCAATTCTAGTACTTTTTCGACAAAATGTTTACTTTATGTTTTATTTGACACAAACACTTTGATACAAATTGATATCATAGAAATTTTAAAATGTTCGGTAAATTATAAATTTGACAAAATCATATCACCGTCAGTTGGAGCTATTAATCAAATACTGGCATCAAATGAATTTTTGTTATGTAAACCAAATGATTTGGCATATAAACAGTTATTTGAAATACGTATCGATAATATACGCTATTGTAAGCGAAAATCAGAACATGATCAACACTTAAAAGCAAGAAAACGCCAAATACAAGATAATCTATTACTGGAAAAATACTCAGAAAAAAATGATTAAAAATTCATCGACAAATTTTAGCAATAATGAGACTGCTGCTTACTAGAATTATCAGGAAGATGACGATAAAAATAGTGATGTTGAATGAGATTTAGTTAGTCTTATTTTATTTATATACAGTTTTTTTATTTATTTCTAATTTAAAATGACTGAAGAAAAAGTCGTTCGTATTTTGAACATAACGGTAATAAACACGAGATATTTAAAAAATGAATTAAGACTTTGTTCTCTTGTTGTCAAAATAATGAATATACGCATGTTGAATTTCACTCTTGGAATATAACAGCGTTAACAATCGAGATCAATTATCAAATATAAGTTACAAGTTTATGATAGCATAATACGAAAAGATATAAGTTCTTTATCTATTTTTAGTCAAATACGTTCTCGTTACGAACGAATATAGAAACGTACCTTGTCTTTTCGCTCGTTCTGTTCTTGAACTTTGTAACGTCTCAGCTTTTTTTCTTTTCGTTCTGTGTAGTAAAGACGTTCTGTGTATCTCGCTCCATGTAGTGTAAAGAAAGAATTTTTGTTTTACAGTATCTATAATAGACATATTAGTTCAAAAAAGTGGACTTTAGACCTCTGCTCAAAATTTTAACTATTATCACTAGAATATTGAAATCATTATGTCGCAAAGGTTTGTTTACATTTACCAATTTTTGGAGGATTTGAAGAGGAATCCGTATTAGCTTATCTAATTTGTACAAAAATTTTAGAGTTCAGTCTGTTTTCCACCTTTTACTGCAAATCGTTGTTCTTCTTATGTAACCTTATAGCCTGTCTAATCTTGATTTAAATTGAATACTGAAAAGCGTTACCGTTAACCTGTTCTTTATTTATACTTTCAGATTAATACCATTCTATTATTTTTCTCTTTTGAATTGACGTAATCCTCCAACTTCCATGGCACTAACAAACGTTTATCGTCAAACGACATCGTTTGTATTTAATAATACCCTAACAAAAGGTGTATTGATACGCTCATTAGTAGCAAATGCATCTTCCAGCACTCAACCCTCGGCTTCATCACCATCCGTCCCCAAACCACCAAATCCAAATGCTGCTTCGTCTGCTTCAAAACCATCAGCTGAACAATATCCGATTATCAAAGAACAACAACCGCAAACAAAAGAAAGTGAGCAACATCAAAAACAGACGCAACAACGCCTTTCACCAACATCAACAGTCAAAGATAGCAAAACATTGGCTAAAGAAGCAAAAAAATCAACATCATTCATCATGAATTTATTTCGCGGACAATTATATACAGACGAATTATTTCCATATCCCGATGTTTTAAATGAAGAACAAAAAGATAATGTTAAAATGTTGATTGATCCTATATGGAAATTTTTTGAAGAAAAAAATAATGCAGCAAAAAACGATCAATTAGAAGCGGTGAGTGCTAATTCTGTCTTTAGGCCTTTTAACATGTTAAAAAGCATTTTGTTTGTCTCTTCTAGATTCCAGACGATGTCATGACGGGATTAAAAGAACAAGGTGCATTTGGAATACAAGTACCATATGAATATGGTGGTCTTAGCTTGACAAATACGCAAGCAGCTCGATTATTTGAAGTTGTTAGTGCACATGATTTAGGTATAAGTATTTGTCTCGGAGCTCATCAATCGATTGGCTTCAAAGGTATCTTACTATTCGGTAATGAACAACAGAAACAAAAATATTTACCAAAATTAGCCGCTGGTGAATGGGTAGCTGCATTTTGTCTGACAGAACCGTCGGCCGGTTCTGATGCAGCTTCAATAAAAACAAAAGCTGAATTGTCATCAGATGGAAAATATTACGTGTTAAATGGTAGTAAAATATGGATTAGTAATGCTGGTATAGCGGAAATTTTTACGGTTTTTGCACAAACACCAGTTGTTGATGATAAAACAGGTCAAACGCAAAATAAAGTCACGGCATTTATTGTTGAACGAAAATTTGGCGGCATACAACATGGGCAGCCAGAAAAAAAAATGGGTATTAAAGCATCAAATACAGCAGAATTATTTTTTGAAGATTGCAAAGTACCAGTAGAAAATGTTCTGGGAGGTGTTGGTGAAGGATTTAAAGTGAGTTAAAACATTGTATAGAGGATTGCAGTTCACATACTTATTTTTCGGTTGTGAATTGGAAAAAATCTTCTGATGTGCAAGTAAAAGAAATAGTAATAAAAAAGCACCAAACAGACAACGGCCAAGTACAATTTTAGAAATGAAGTGGGTAATACAATTCTCATAGGCTCACCCATAGTAACAGACAATATGGATCACTTATAATGAATGAATGTATACATTCTTTTAGGTAGCCATGAATATTCTTAATAATGGACGATTTGGAATGGTTGTCGGTTTAAGTGGCACGATGAAAATGGCCATACGTAAATCCATTGTAAGTATTAATGGCCGTTCGTTTAATGAAACTTTTCACAAGTGTATTTTATAGGATTTTGCTAAAAATCGTCGTCAATTTGGTCGTACAGTTGATTCATATGAAAATGTTCAAGAAAAATTAGTTCGCATGGCAATGAGACAATATGTAACAGAAAGTTTAGGTAAAAATTTTATACAGAAAGATGAATTGATGAGATTATAAAAGATATACAGCCTTTGACCTGTATGTAAAAGAACATCAATTATAGTTTTATTTCAAAAGAATTTCTTTCATGATTTGAACGGTTAAATAATAGAACAAGCGTTAATATATAACCTTCGTAGCTAAGATACCAATCATCTTTTCCAGTTAAACCTTGTTTTTTCTATATTGTTTTCAGGTTTTTTATTATCATCGAATATGGATCGAGGTGTAACAGAGTATCAATGTGAAGCGGCTATCGGTAAAATATTTGCTAGTGAATCAGCATGGTTTGTGTTAGACGAAGCTATACAAATTCATGGTGGTATGGGATACATGTACGGTTTGAAATTTGAAATTTTCTGTGTGGTTAAACTGCTATAAGACATATGAGTTTAATAATTCGGTCATGATATTTTTTTAGGAGACATACTGGTCTCGAGCGCGTTATGCGTGATTTAAGAATATTTCGAATATTTGAAGGTATGTGAATAGTAAATGCTAATGATTTCTACTCAAATTTTGTTTCTATCCTAGGTGCTAATGATATTTTGAGATTATTCGTTGCCTTGACTGGTATGCAATATGCTGGTTTACACTTGCGAGAATTAGCAAAATCAGTTAAAAGTTTTAATTTGAATGTTCTTATGGGTGAAGGTACAAAACGATTACGACGTGTGACAGGCATGAGCTCTGGACCAAGTTTATCGGCTCACCTTCATCCATCATTACAAAAGTCTGGAGAATTGTTGTCGAAATCGATAGATCGTTTTGGTTACACGATTGAAAATGTTTTAATTAAATATGGTAAATCGATACGTGATGAACAATTTATCACCGTACGTATCGGTGAAGCGGTCATCGATTTATTTACAATGGCTGTTGCTTTGTCACGCTGTACACACTCATTTAAAAAAAATGTATCCACAGCTGTTCATGAGTCAAATTTAGTTAATCTGTGGTGCGAAGAAGCTTACGCTAGAATAAACACCAATTTAGATTTGATCACAGATCCAGCATTCTTAAAACGTTCAAAATTGATGACAACATTAGCAAGAGAAATTGTTGAAAAAGAATCGACTGTGCCCGAACATCCATTAGGCTTTTAGATGAAGCTAATGATTTCTTCTTTTTTCGGCAATATTTTGGGTCGCGGACTCTTTCAATTGTTACAATATCGACTGTCATTTTGTTCCTTTTGTTATTTCGTCTTAAATTGCGTGCTTTTTCGTTCTATTTTACTGATCGAAACTTTTATTTTTAAGAATACCAATTACCACGTTCTTAGTTTCTACTTCATCGTCTACAATAAATATAGCTAGAAAAAATATTAAATTTGTTAACGGGTAATAGTTTTAATAGAAACGCATTTGTAACATCAACTATTTTACGTTTCATTTTATTTTCGTTTATTAATTAAGATTATAATTGTTTCGACGTTTCGTACAACACAGTGTTCATTTTCAAGCCGAAAAACGCAGATAATAGTGTGATAAAATACTCTTAAAAGTGTATGACGTCAACGTAATACGAAAACAGAGCAATTTTCTAACGACAATATACAGAAAGAAGATGTTTACGGGTTTGCTGACTACTTGGACGTCATTAGCTACAAATAGAGTTGTGTGAGCAGTATGATAAATCGTGCAATTTCCATTTACTCGACGTATGAGTTACTGTTACAAGAACTACAATCCATTCCAAAATACAGTGCCGATGGGCAGTTTTTGAATAACTTTTGATAGGAATGAGATAAAGACCTGCGATTTTCATTATTCGATAGCCAAGACTTGAGCGGAACTTTTCACAAGCGGAAACTTTTGAAAAATTTCAAAGATCGGGTTTTCAGTGGATCTTTGGAAAACCAGCTCCGTTCTCACAAAACTAACATACAATGTTAGTAAATTTTTTGCATGCATCAAATCTCATGCTGACTCCAGGAAATTTTCAGAAAAGACTTAAAGGGTGCCATATATTGTTGATCACGCCGAAAAAGTGGTCCAGCAGAACACTGACGCTTTGAGGTTTTTCAGAAGGTTTCTGCAAAACCTTAAAACAATGCCCGGCTGAAATTCACCTTTTTCGTCTTCGATTATGCTTTATGAGCTGTCCTGAGCGTTTCTTGAAAATTTTCTCGAGTCAACATGAGATTTGATCGAGATATAGGGATTTTAATTTTTACTAGTAACAGGCGAAAAACCGTTTTTCTACAAAAATGCCTCTAGCGGAGTTATATTCATTTCTACATAAAAACAAATGTTGCCACTATGCTCAGCGTAATCGATTACCTATGTTCCATGACATTTCGAGATTCCGAGAGATGTCTGCTCGTAGATCGACACGTGTTCGGGGAAAGCGAGCTCTATCCGAACGAAGATAGCTGGAAAGCCCGGACTTAGATAATTTTGTAGAGTAACGTCCGTACTATCTACGCATGCAAAAAATTTACTAACATTGTATGTTGGTTTTGTGAGAACGGAGCTGGTTTTCCAAAGATCCTCTGAAAACCCGATCCTTGAAATTTTTTCAAAAGTTATTCCGCTTGCGAAAAGTTCCGCTCAAGTCTTGGCTATCGAACAGCGAAAATCGCAGGTCTTTATCTCATTCCTATCAAAAGTTAAAAGGTTAAATTCAAGTAAATTCGAAATTCACGCAAATTCATCGAATTTCGCGTAAAATTCCTCAACAAGTCAAGGAAACTTTACTTAAATTGAACGGGAGTCAGAGAGAGAGATTCTAGTTAACCTCCGAAATCTACCTTGATAACGGCGTGGGTATTAAACAGCCAATACTGTGAAGAACGTTTGTGTAGCAGCGTTTAGATTTCTTTCCTTTCTACTATCGACGCCACGAATAACTCCAAAACGATAAAAGATAAAGACTTGCAATTTTCAACAATCGAAACAAGACAGTTTAGCCTATGTTTTCGTAAGCGAAACCCTTTTGCGAAGTCATCCGAAAGACCAGTTTTCTAGGATATATTTGGAAAACCGCTTCGGATCTCCGGAAAATGAGATAGAAATCTATCAGTTTGCTTTTATAGATAGATAGTCCAAAGTGTTCTCTCCATAATGGGAACTAAACTAAGTCTTAATTTTTCCTAGTTCACGCGTGGCATCGGATTTCCTGAGAGTCCCGGAATCAATATTTCTTTAGGCGTGATAATTCCGAAAAATAAATGCAAACACAGGTAATCGACTACGCTGAATATCGTGGCAGTATTTGTTTTCAAAACAGTTCCAAAAATCTGGTGAAAACGTATATTAGATGAAATAACCCATTTTTGCCTATTTTTGAGTAATATTAAAAGATTCATAATCCAGTCAAGATCCATCCAAGTTATGCCAGAATACCAAGATGTACTCTATTTTACCTGCTCAATACGACTTTTTACTTGAAAATAGTAAAAAACATTTTTGTACTTCGGAAGATTTCTAGAAAACCTTTTCAAAAACCAAAGTATTTTCTGTTGATTTTTAAAGCTTTTATTGAACTGTAGAGTATTAAGCAGGTAAAACAGAGTACATTTTGATATTCTGGCATAGTTTGGATGGATCTCGACTGGATTATGAATTTTTTAATATTACTCAAAAATAGGCAAAAATGGGTTATTTCCCCTAATATAGGTTTTCACTAGATTTCTGAAACAGTTTTGAAAAACAAATGTTGTCACATTTATTTCCCGAATTACCATAATCAAAATTCAGCTAAATTCACTTAAATTCAGTTGAAATCACTTAAATTCAAGTAAATTCAGTCAAATTCAGTTAAATTCAGTTAAAATTCATTGTCAGCTCAAAGCTAGAAATTAATTTAGGGCTTTTCTTGTAAATTCTATAACTTTGCAAAGAAAGGTTGTGTAAAGCTGGAAGAAGTCTCATTTTAATCAGAAATGTGCGAGCTACAAGCATGGCTCATTAAGAAAAGCTTTGGTTGTTTTCCAGAGTTTCTGAAAAACTGGTTTTCCAGAAAAACGGGTCTTCTAAGCAATGTGTCAAAACTGAGAACGCTGTTAGAACCAACATGACCTAAAACCCAAACCCCCCAGAGGGTTTTAAAAAATGTTTTGTTGGAGATGAGATATGAAAAAAATATTTTTCGTGAAACTCGCCTATTGTTTACCATTTCTGGACGTCAACGTAATACGAAAACAGAGCAACTTTCATGGTTTTCCAGAAAAACTGGTCTCCTAAGCAATGTGATAAAACTGAGAATGCTGTTGGAACTAGCATGGCCTAAAACCCAAACACCCCAGAGTTTCAAAAAATGTTTTGTTGGGGTTGAGGTATGAAATCCACTTCATGAGTAAACTGTATATCAGAATGAAATGAATTGAAAATTTTAATAATATCATCAATAGAGGAATTACGCTCTAACAGGACAAAAGTACCATCAACATAACGGGTATAATGTGTAACACCATTGGCTTGTAACTGCGTAAAAACATTTTCTTCAAGGTAGCACATAAATATATTGGCTAATATAGGGGCCAAGGAAGAACCTATAACCACTCCATTTATCTGCCTATAGACTTGCCCATTGAATAGAAAATATGTATCAGCGGTAGCTATTGGAAGCAGTAACGGCAAAGCTCTCATATTTTGGCAAATCATTCACATAGATTTACGTTTCGACCTACATTGATCTTGTGTAGGACAAAGTTTGTCAAGAATTATATCGATAGTATATTTTAGAGGGACTTTTGTAAAAAGGCTTGTTACGTCGAACGAAACCATGTTATAGTCAGTTAGTTGAGAAGATAATTTTGAAATTCGATCAACAAAATGAAAACTGTCTCTATAGATGTGATCATTACTAATTAAATTTGTTAATCTACTGGCTAACATTTTAGTAAGATCATAATTGTATGTTTTTGTCGCTGAGAATATAGGTCGTAATGGTATACCGTTTTTATGTATTTTTGGATCCGTAAAGTCTAGTAGGACGTGAGCCTGATGGACGACAGCTATCATATTCTCCTTGGGAAATGAAAGCTCGTTTCATTAGTCTCGGCAAAACACGTATCAAGTAATCTTCCATAAATAATGTTGGATCTGACTCTAATTTTATAAATGTAGATCTATCACTTAATAGCATGTTCATTGCAGTCAACGCGACGGATGACAGTACGTATGTCGGGAAAAAAATTAGACAATCGTGCAGACGACTTGTTGAGCATGGTGCTCCAAACAGTCTCTACAAAAGTGAAAAAGATTTCTCGTCTTGTATAGGCATTTCTTCCACTACATGGGTCTCTTCAACAATTAACAAGAAAGTAAAATCCGTCGGTTTCCGACGCACTCTCGAGATGAAACATAATTCTGACTGAAATGGTTTTAAAATCTTAACTATCCGTATTCCCTCTAATTAGAGAATTATTAACGATTTTAAGTCATCAACCTAAACTGAATAGCACTAGTCGCTCTGTTTCTCTTATGTATTTCCTAATGGCATTGCTAGAAAACTAGTTCCTGATCCAGGAGGAGGATAAAGTCTATTCGCTTTGTCACTATAGTCATCTTATTCTATTTTTGCTTTTACTCTCTTTCTTTTCGTTCAACATGTGCTATGACATAACATAAATGGAAAACTAAAATGAAATATTTTTTGTTATCTCTCTCTCCTGAAATCCTTTATCAAATAATTGTACAATGTATTCTTACCCTAGATTCTCTCTCTTTGTACGGATATATATATATTTACATGTTATGTCTCTGTATGCATACACTTTTAAGAGTATTTTACCACACTATTATCTGCGTTTTTCGGCTTGAAATTGAACATTGTGTTGTTCGAAACATCTAGAACAAATGTTTCAACATACATAGTACACAAGATTTTGGTGTGTACTGACGAAAAACAACCCATAAATGCCAAAGTCGTTTTAACATTCTTCTAATTCTGAATCTCTGTTCTTTGATATTATCCCCTAGCGTATAGGCAACGGAGCGTCTTGCAACTAATGAGGGAACCTTTCGAAGTGATTAAGCTGCTTTTTGTTCTGCTAAAATATAAATATTAAAAAAAACATACAGATGCGAAGCCAAAAATGATTAATTATCTAGGAATGTGTATTTTCCATAGTATATTCCAATTGTCTACAGTAAAG